TTATTTTAATTAAATGACCTACATACTCACTGACAGTGATGATGCCCTAACTACTAGCATTAACCCTCATAATTATGTTGACCGCTTTTTGTTAGATAAGCTCACTCGACAGAGAGTCAGTCACAAAGTCACTTTAATAAAACTCTGTCATTACAAACATCGATTATTGAGCCGTTCTTAGTACAAACAAGTACTGCATCATCAAGCAGGAAAATTGCTATTTGTATTGCACTATACTCACAGGTAGTTTACATTCCCTTGTCAATCATTTGGCAAGCACATGTAACCTTCCTGTTACACTCTGAAGAAAGCAACTGCTCGAACATCCGTGTGTCAACTAAAGGTACAATTAGGAGTGCATGTCCTTATCATTCTTCTTGTTTTGTACATTTATTCAGGTTTCAACAGCCGTTATTATTCTCTGTTAGGGAGGAGTTGAGCTCTATTTTAGCCCATGTAACTCCTAGAGATGCAGATCCATTGTAAAAAAAAATCGACATAACATACAGAGCCATCAAGTTAACAGGTTCTAAATTAGCCGTCTTAATATTCTTCGGTATGTGTTTCAGAGTCATTTTAATTACATATTTCCAATTTGGGTCCAGCACAAGATTATCATATGGGGCTATGAGGGTCAGGGTGTAGAAAATCCCTGTAGTATCAGTTTATATATAAAGGCATTATCATTCTTGTGTTCTCTCTCTGCGGGTGAAGCTCCATTTTGATCTTTGCTTTCTCTGCCCCCCCCCCCCTCCCCCCTATAGTAAAGAGTGCCTGGTGAGCTCCTCAGGGAATGACAACACCGAAAATGGACCTACAGGAGCCAAAGCAGACAACAAAGGGACACCAAAGGCATGAGCAGAATGCAAAAGTATGTCTGTACATATGTTAGAACAACTTACACGCTCAGAGAAGATACTGTTATCAGTGGACTGTTATATCTTACTAATGGCTAACTAATACATTGTAAAAGTCTATTTTAAATCATGCTTGAGATTTGAGAGGTGTGAAATGTGCACAGGCCTGGATCACCCTCACCTACATGGCAGCCCATTTGTTACACAGCCTCTGATATCAAATTCTACTCTTCATGCTACTGTAACCAAACACTTCACACAGAGTCTTGGGTAAACTGTCTCGGTGTGTATATTTGTGCTTTCCATATACCCTCTTTGACATTCAGAGGGTATATGGATCATTCAGGTTACAACTTTTTTCTTTCTAATTTTGAAGCCTTTAGTGTCATGTGCTCTGACGAATAGTCACTTTTCCACAGTTTTAGAGAAAGGACTTTGTACTGAGCAGATCTCTAGTTGTTTTCAGTTCTTTATTTATACGTCAAATTTGTTCTAATCAGCTGTCACGCTGAAAAACAGTGTCAGAAGACTATAGCGAAAAAGCTGTATGATGCTTGGTTTGAAATCATAAGGCTCTGTTTTAATCTACAAGTCTACGTCAAACTTGGACCCGAGCAAACCTGACCTAGGGAACACACACACTTTGATGCCATAACTAACTGCCATGATGTCAGCTGAAGAACAGCAAGCTTCTGTCCCACCCTACCAAATCAACCTTTTTCTTTTCAACATAGATTAAAGCCATCATCTCTCAGTAAATTTGTTCAGATTACAACCAGGAAATCCATTAGTTGATATCTCTAAAGCTATTGTTACATTTGTTTTTCCTGTTCTAACCACCAACTTGATTGCTACCATGGTCCAGGTTTGGCGTACTGTGGGGATTATTTGGTTCAATAAGGCTGACGGCAGGAGTTGACTCACTTTTGGTTTGCTGAGGCTGACAACTGGGCGTTATCTAAGGTGTCTCAGGTGATCCAGTTCTGCAAAGGTTTTTTATGATTTCGCTTTAGATGAAACACAGGTGCCTGTTTTGCTTCTGCTCCCTCTGCTGGTGGGAGGATGAAACCACAGAAAATGTATAAAAACCCAAACCCCCTCATCAAAGACAATCCCCTGACTACCCAGCTCCCTATAGAAAGGAATGAACTTAATCATGCTGCTTCTGACAAATAATCAATGCATTTTTAGCATGTGCGCATTTTATATATAACTTCATATAAGTACAGTATACTTTACAGTTTATAGAGTATTGTCTAGCACCACAGCACCAAAACATGTCTTTGTGCCGCCGTATGGTCCCAATCAACACTTCACATCAACCTCTCAACAATGTCACATCTTTCAATACCCCCTTTAACCAGGCCAAGGTCACTGCAAGGTGACTCTTCTAGTCGAGAAAATGCTTGCAAAAATGGTAAACAAAACTTAACAGGATTTGAATCTACATATTTCTGCATTAGTTCACATAATCTATATGGCTTAATTCCATATTAACAGTCAAGAAAAGACAAACCCCATGGCTCAGTAATACTGGAAACCCACCATTGGGAGGGATAGCTGAAAACGAATGTAAGAGACTCAGTTCCCAAAAACTATTTTTGATTAATATAATTTATTAAACATTAATGTTACTATCAAATGAATGTGTTCATATCTCAATAGGCAAGTGGTTCATTTTATTTGCCATTTGTCTTGTGTGTTTGCTCGGTTCAAAGGTCAATTTGCCAAAAAAATGACTGCTGTGACAGGATTTGAATATTCTGAGCATTGAAGATAACGGGTCAAAGTTTGTGTTTGGTGTCTAGGTAGTGTCTTAGCGTTAGAGATGTTGTACAGATGAACAAGTGAGGGAGCTCGGAGAGTAATTAACACATTTTTATTGGAAAAAGTGCTCAGATTTCACATTTATTTATTTTATTTTTTAAAGAAAGAAAATAAAAGTCAAAATCTAATTCAATCACTTCAAAATGGAAGGACGTAGTGCTAAGATGTCTATTGGCATCCAGAGCCAGGACTGTATGTGGTTTTCAGTATATGAGCTGCCACACCCTCACGCATAGCTTAAATAGCTACGACAGCTGAAAGCTCCACATACAGACGCACAAGTGCACTCACATAATAAGAGCCTGTTTGATACAAAAAGTGTAGTAGTACACTTGGATACAAGCAATGCAGCACTTTACCACAGTTTAGAGTCAGGAACAAAACAGGAAATCATGTAAGGTATTTTAATTCGTTATTTTTTTATGGTACACAATTCCAGAGTTCATATAAAATTAATATGTTTTGTTTTTCAAGTCTGACTGAGAACCTAAGAGGAGCATTATGTCCAAATGGCTTTAGCATTGTCTAATGATGTCTCACTGGAACAGAGCTCTATAGAAAGATGTAATCTTATTTTTCTAAGTGTTTCACTTTGTGTCAGCCTGCTGCTCTCTCTCATACTGGAGTGCATTTCCCTTCTTGCTTTCAATGGAAGCAATAAGACGGACATCAGATTATGCAATAACCTGTTATAAGGCACTTTATAGATGTGTCTGGACTGGCTGTGATGGCAACTGTGTTTGTCCAAGACACCATTCATTGTACTGATATATGTATCTACAATGTACTAATGTGTAAACATTAGATTCATATATCTGCATTTATCTGCCTTGGGAAACAAAAAAAACCTGTAATAGACGCTAACATTGCGACTGACTGTGCAGTGTTAGAAGTGATACAGTGTACTTGCTGTGTCGAACAAATGTGAATGTTATGGATATAAGGAAGCACTTCACAAACACACACAGGCATACACACACATATACACACACAAACATGCACACACACGATCGCTTCCTTGTCTAGACAGTAATGTATAGATCCCTCTGCAAAGAGGATACATTATGTATATCCAAAGTCTTCCTGTAGGGAAAAGCAATATTGTGAAGTGGATCTTGTCTCTTGTTGTAACCCTGACATTGCATAACAAATCCTGTAGATGGTTTCATGTAGAGATAGTAATGCATTACTTCAACATTTGTGGCTAATTTTGCATCGTTGTTTTTCATTTTCATTGTGATCCCTAGGTGGATTTTTGTAATGTTTCCTGGTTATATGCCCGTCAACACTGCATCACTTTTTAAGAGATTCCTTATTTTCTCTATCTTGCTTTTCTGTTATGAAGTTATTTCCCTGAAGTGAAACTACTTGCAAAAATCAAATACAAAAAAAAGAAAAGAAATCCAGTGAACCAGACACAGGTATGTGAGGAGAGTGTTTGAGTGACCACCCCATAGATCTGTGCTGGATTATGAATTGCCAAAAGCATTCACTCTTTTACCAGTTTAAAGGTTCTTTTTTTCTTGTATTTTTTTTAACATATGGCCCTTCCTACATTGTGAACTGCCTGGACTTTCTGGAAAAAAAACCCAAACAGCTTTATAAAATCTTACATGAGTTGAGGTCAGCAGCTTGCTTGCAGTATTTGCTGCAGTACTGACTAAAGGCCTGTACAGTGTGGGCCCCCTTAGCTTTTGAGCAGAACAGCAAAGTCAACACAGTACCACTGCCACCTAGTGGTTAATGCCATTACATACAATCATCTGCTCTCTACAGTAGTGTCTGCTGATGAGACACACAATATGAAAATGCACTCAATCAGTGCATTTTAAACGAGATAGTTGTAGTGTAGGCTTAAAACAGTGATTTTAGTTTGTAACTGAGAATGAAAATATGAATACAACTCCATGGCTAAACACATTATATGCTGATAAACAAGAGTTGACATTGTTGCTACACTAATTGCTTCTAGTTGAATTGGATCATTTGAACCCCTGTGCACACTGGGTAATTTAACTTCAAGCATAAAGGGGGTGATTTGTGTGTGTAAGTTTACAATAAAGTGTTTAAGGAAAAGGATACTCGCACAAATCCTCTATCAATTTTTCTCTTACAGTGAGCATTGAATAGTCCCAGTCTGAGTGCTATACCGTCGAACACTGACTGACCACTATTATGATTCCTTTAGAGTTAGTATTGCTCTTACTGCCAGAGCAGCTGAAACTCATACTGCCAATCCAAGAGTCTCACGTCTGCTGTTGTTAACTACACTCTAATAATGACAAAAACAAAAGAAAACTCTCTTAGTACACTGACATTTACAAAAAAAAACACATTTGTTTTACTCTACTGCTGATTTAAATGTGTCTCAGTACTAAATTGTGGAGGATATTGCTCTGTACTTAAATAAAAAAAACCTGTATTTCTAGCAGCTGAAACTCACACTGCCAAGCCAAGAGTCTGACGTCTGCTTTCGACATTCCACACAGACCAGAAGATCAATCCATTGATCTCATGTTGGTGTAGTTCAGCACAAACTTTAACTTTACTAGAAACCGGATCAAGGAGGATGATTAATAAAACGAGAAGAATCAGGAGCTATATGTGTTCCCATTTTGGTGGTTCAGAGAGCAAAATGTGATGCATATTGTGCGTCAATATGTGATCACAAATCTAGCAAACTGCCTCCTCCTATAACTCTTTGAAGAGAGATAGCTGCAAAGACCAAGGCCAGCAGGTTAAGAGATTTATTGCAGTACAAGAACAGACTGACACCAACCTCTCCACATTCTCTCACTGCGGTTCTGCGTTTTGAAATACCGGGACAATGTTTTTTATTGTAACTGTAACATGGCTGTAGATGTAACTCCTATCTTAATCAAAATAACAAATTCACTCATCACTTCATCCTACACTATCCAATGCTACAGACATTATACACACCACTGCATTTTATAATAAGCTGAAATCTCGCATCAAACTCTTACAACAGAGTGCGATCAACTCAACCACACACCCCCGATGTCACAACACAGGAGTCCTGAATCGACTTGTCTTCTTAATGTTCAGCTGTTTGTATGTGTTTGTGAACATGTTGCTCATGCTTCCTTCATAACTATGCACCTCAAACTTTTGACTTGTTTTAAAAAAAAAAAAAACACACCTGAAATAAAATGTTGATTGAAACACTCACTGAAGTGTCTGATCTCATTCTGTGTTCCTCCAAGTTACGTAAATGCTCCTCTACTTCATCCACACCAATAGCTGATAGAGATCTGATTTTCTTTTGCTATGTATTGATATTTGAATCTATTGGTAGATAGTATTGTTAATTACTGTATGCGATAAGCAGGGGAGGGGATTATTTACAGATTCATGACTTTTTGTAAGACTGGTGACACACTCTGTCTTACACAGCCATGCTAGTTCTATCAATTTTTACTATCGTGACTAAAATCAAGTGAGGTCAGTGCAGCACAATTCATACTTTTAGGGGAAGTCCTTCCATGAAAAACAAACCCAATGTTCAACTTTGTTTTTCAATTTATCCCAATTCCATGCTTGGATTTCTGTGTTTCAACGCATACTATGCATCCCTTCAATGCAGTACAACTATACACTGATGCTTTAAAGGGGTCATATTATGCCAGATTCATGACAATACAAACATTCACGTGTTTTACCCGCGGCAGAAGGATTGCATCGGAAGAAAATAGGTGACCTGCTATTTTTTTTGTCAGCAGGTGCCAGAGATTTGCGCTGCCCCAGAGGACAAAAACACACTTTTGTGAGTCAAGGCGAACTCGTCAGCCAAGACGAGAGCTGCAGCAAGAGACGCAACTTTCTGCTCATTTAAGAACACCGCAATGCGCTCGGACAGACACTTTTTAAACTCCAAGTTTGAGCAATTGTGCAAAATCCAAAACTTTACTGGCTTGACACCATTTATCAGAAAGGACACCATTCACACGAGCAAACTCTACATATGTCTGATTGGCACTTTTAACACAGTTTCTGAATTTTGGTCTGTATGCCTAAGGCACCAGCTCATATGCACGCAGCACAGTAGGTTTTACAACATCATAATTAAGACTCTGTTCAACAATGAGGCTGGCACACACCTCCTGGTCTTTACCAACACATTGCAGCAATAAAGACCAGACATCTTTGGCCAATTTAAAGTGGCTGCAATGCGCTCAAAAGCACCGAAATAAGAATCCACCTCAGATTCTAGGAAAGGTGGCACCAGTGCGATTTGCCTGCTTACGTCAAAGCTGAAACGGGGAGAGTGTGAGGTGACGGGGGATATAGACACTAGGCTGGCGTTCAAGCTCTTAAACACTAACTCTGAGGTGCATCGCCAACCAGAAATACAAGAGAAAAATACAAAAAAAAACGTACCGAACTTACCCGACGAAACACGAGGGGGAAAAAAACGGATGAGCCCCCAATTTATGTTACGACCAGCCTAGGGGCAACCAGCCAGAGCACTAAAGTGATCTTCTCCTTCCTCATTTGCAATGATTAAACACAAAACAACGAATTCACAGTCCACAGTGCTATTTATTTAGCAATAAACACAAAAACTAAGAAATCTTCAGGGAGAGCGCCGGCAAAATAATGAACGGAACATCTAAGTGGTAAACCAAACTACCTTACCTCGAATAAAGAAAAGAAAGTACAGGCATCTTGCCCTAACTCCCTAACAGAAAAACAGGAGAAAAGATTAGTCAAAAGAAAAGGCTAGTCTTCCCTACTTCAGAACAAGGACTGAGCAACAGAAACAATCTCTATTAGTTAACAAACAATCAACAGCAAACACATCTCTCTCTTTGGAGGTGAGCAACAAGGAAGGCAGCGTTCAGCTTCTTCAGCTCTCTTTTTTAAAGTGCCTTCAGGTATCATCCAATACGCGTGCAGTACCAGCTTCCCTTCAGTCTAAGGCTGGCGCACACTGTCAGCGTTTCCCCAATCAAGTGTGGCCACCTGCAACACGGCATCAACAAAAGACGGAACACAACACCAACAATAACCAAACATTTAAATACAATGTCTCTCAGTCATAACAAAGATGTTGTGATCAAAATGGAGAAAACGGAAAAAGAGGAAAAAGGAGCTTCTTGAAAATCACAAAAAGGAAGTGCAGAGCTTGAATGATGTTATAAAAAAATCATGAAATGTTTTCAGGCGAGCCAGACAGAAAAAAGACGTTTTAAAGAACGACATAGCAGCAAAAAAGCTGGGAACAAATTGCACAACCTGAAGAAGGACAAAAAGGTTCTTAGAGAAGATCTGAAAACCAGAGAGGACTATGACGACCTATCGCAGTGCAAAGATCACATTTACAAGCAAATGATTCACAAATGAAATACAGAGATCATGAAATTGAATATTTAACGTTGCAGGTGAGTAAAACTCAGGAAGACGGCAAGAAAGAGTTTCATGAACAGAAGAAGCAACATGAAAAATATCAAGAAATCATGCTGGCAGAGTGGAAGGAAAACTCAGAGCAGGAAGTACAGAGAAGAGTTGCTCTGCAGAGAGCAGTGGAAAGATGTGATCAAGATGGAAGAAGAAGCTGCTTGAAAATCACAAAAATCAAGTGCAGAGCTTGAATGATGTTCTAAATCATTAAACATCCATTCTAGAACAAAGAAAGCAGGGACAGACAGAGTTTATGCTCTTGTGAGCGAGAAACTAGATGCTGAGAAACAAGTGAAAGAGATAAAACATTAACTGGACAAGAGAAACACAGTGGATTATCTCATATAGGAGGTTGACGAAAGATGTAGCAGCAAGAAAACCTCAAAATTAAAAACCTCAGATGTACGATAAGCACTCTCAAAATTGAAAAAGGAGAGTGTGTGAAATGCACAGTCTCTTACAAGTCAAACATGTTTTAGTTACCAAAAATGACCAGAAGCTTCAGGACGATGACAAAAGAGTCAGACCAATCTCAAAGAAACAGAACTGAAGCTGAAGAGTTCATTACAAGAAAACATGAAGCTGCTGGATCAAGTGAAAAATCTTAGATTCAGAGAGAAAGTCAAACAGCCAGAAATATAAAAATAGGCTGATGGATAAAATCTGCAGACCGGAGGCCTTAAATGAGAGCATCAAGGCGGACAGAAGTTCATGCTAGCTTCATATGAATGATCCAAAGATGCTGAGAAAAAGATTCATTACTCTCCATACGCGCTCATTGATGGCGATAAAACAGTGGGCATGGATGAAGACACCAGAGAGGGGCAAAAGTTCATCATAGATTGTATCCAAAGAAAACTGGATGCCAGTCGAAGGACTGTGGAGATCCAGAAGAAAACCATCAAAATTAAAAGATCTGCAACTGTAAAATCTGATGCTGACAGAATCTACCTCATGGATTTCTGCCATCAGCACGAGATGGTCATCGATCACCTAAGAGAAAAAATGGAGAAGCTGAAACCAAAATGATCAATGCAAAGTCAGGAACCAAAAAGTTGTCCCTTCAGAGCATTAAAGCAAGAGTGACAAATATGTTGTTCAAGCAAAATCGTGTTGAACCGCTTACAGAGGAAGAGACTTCCATCCAGGAGGATGCCTCTCACCCACAAGACTCCAAACAACAAAATGATATGCCATTTGTTGGTTCCTATAACAGTGACGTGACAGTGGCCCTCACAAACATACGCATGAAAGAGAAATGGGTGTACGGTCATTTCCACGCAAAGTTTGGCATTTCAATTTGGACATGAGCTGACGGGAGGGTACGCTCAAATACCACGCCAGGTCTCAGCTTGTGTACACACGTGCAGCGAATCTGTTCGTCAGAGAATCCTTAGATCAGGGGTCTCCAACCTTTCTTCATTTGAGAGCTACTTGCATCAAATTGCTTGCATTTATTTACATAGAACACATCAGCTGTTTGTTTGTACACGTGTGGAATTGCAATAAGCCAATGTTTATCAATAATCTTAAATTCACACCAAGGTCCAAGAAAAAAAAAAACATGAATATTTTACACTTCTTATTGTGGCCACATAGTAAGCTATGTTGCTGAAAATTTACATCAATGTCCAAGAAAACTTTACTACTTTACACTTGTTTTTATGAGCCTAATATATGAATAGTGGGAAGAGGTGCATTTATTGTCGTCAGATTTTTTTTTTTAACACAGTCAACCTATAGGCGAGCTACTTAAAACCTGCCCGCGAGGTACCAATAAGCTATCTGTTAAGATATGGCATCTTACTGTATTTTCACATTTCTCTCCACCTCAAACGATCCCTGTAGGCTTTTTAAATAATGTTGAGCAGCCCAAGCTTTACTCCAAACAATTTGAGAGCGTGTGTAAAAGTTGGCTATTTACTGTAACGCAGAAAATGAATTAAAATTGGATCGGCAACTCATCGGCATGTTTGAGTAATCAGTGTAATTCACTGCTGTGCCTCGTACATAATTGCGCACAGTAGACTCAGGCTAACAGTGTTCTAACAGTGACATTAAAAGAAGCACCCAGACTGGAGGAGGCCAGCCGGACCCCAGCCTGAAATAATCCCAGACTGAGGAGCGAGTGGCTTCTTTCATCGGTTCAGCCTCCATATCAGACACAGGCGAACCTGCATCTGTGTCGGATAACATCGGCTGCACAAACGGGCTCCCTGCTTGCCATTAATGAGACTTTAAAAGAGAGTCATGAAAACCTGAAACATCCTGCATCAAATGAATGAAGTGTTTGACCAAACGCTCTGTAATGTGTATTTTTCATCTGAATAGTTTACTTTCCAAGCACAAGAATCTAACACTTACATATATGAAGGTCCTGACTCCGTCTTACAGCCCCCAGATTTCTTTATTCCTTTTTATGTGAAATGTAGTCTGGCCTAACTCTGTGTACCAGCAGCATCCTGGACCTGTTTGTGACCGTCATCATTTTCTTATGGCTGTCGAACACTACAATCAACCTTGGGTAATTTTATCTCACACACACACACACCAGAGTGTGGATGGACCAACGCAGTTTACAGTAGTTGCTGTTTTTAAGAAATGTTCTCTGGTTCTGAAAGCTATAGTTTCCAATCAAAACCGTATTGCATTAAACTCTTTTATCTGGGAGGGAAACATCCTGCTCTAACAAAAACGTGGAATGGAAACAGCTGTGGACATGATAGAGCTCCAGCAATGTTTTCATTCAAGGGGAGAAATTTAGAAGC